GCGCGCGAGCAGCGAAAGATTCGAGATTTCTGAAGGTTTTTCGCGCGAACGAGATGAGGGTCAAGATTTTGTGACGCGGACTCCCCCAGGGTTACCGATCCAATCCTTTTCTCGACGATTCCCGCCCGCAGTCATTGCCTTTCAGTCGATTTTCTCCCTCTTGATCTTAAAGAGATTAGATACAATTGTGCGTGTCAAAGTTCCGGAGAGCCATTATAACGACGTGACCTGATCGCGCATAAGTAATTTAGACGCTTTCCACGTGAAAAAGATTTTCGAGAACAGATCTCGTAACTTCACGCCGCTTTGTGTCGCTTTTTCAAGAAGCTACAAGGAAAACAGCGAGTTGTTTTGCGAACTTTTTTTAATAGCTTTGGCTTGTTTCTTGAAAGTTTCATTTTGTAAAAGAGAATTACAGAATTGTCAGAAAAAGAACCGTGAAAATTGAATTGACTTTTGCAATTTGCTTCCTAATCTGCTCTGTTAAATCACACTTATAGGATTGTAAATTAATACATATGTGTATCAATGTGGCATTGAAATCCAGTCTATTACTCAAGTGTCAAAACATGAATGGAAGCGGCATTTGACTTACTGATGTGTGTTATATATACAATATAACGGTAACGCGATATCGAACGTAAATTAAATTAGCACCGGCTCGTAAGCCTAGAGATAGAGATCTGGCGCGCGAACCGAGCGAGTGGTCGCAAGTTAGATAAAAAGGCTGTTTGTTTGGCGTAATAACCGACGTGGCCAATCTAATTTCACGTGAAGATCCGATCGGCGCCGCATAATTGACCTAATCAAATTCTCCACCGCCGGTCGGTGGCCGAAAAGCGTAAAGGCATCGGCGTCAACTGCTCTAAGTAAGCATGTCATCACGCGTTACGAACTTAGTTCTGCTCAAAAGACTTGGGAACCCTCCCCGTTTCTTCCTCGGGCGACTAGGAACCAGAAACTCGAGATTTCCAAACCAGTATATTTGCAAAATGGTTTCGCTATTGGAACACACTGCGATAATACAACCGCAAGCGGAACAGATTTTTTGTTAGAATTTTATTAATGAAAGAATTTTATTAATTAAAAATAGATATACTAATAAAAAAAGTTAAATTACAAAAGTTTTTGTTTAAAATCGAGCAGAGTTTGTGTTCCTCTCATTGATTTGTACGTTAAAAAACTTTTATAATCACTTTTTTTAACTACTAAAAAATAATGTTAATGCGCAACAGCTTAATAATAATTTAATGTATTCGGAACACACAAAAACATCGCTTGATCAAACACCAAGTCCGCCATAGTTGTTGCACGAGGTGAGGGTACGCACCTTGACACCCTTCGAGCGACAACAACGTGGATCTACGAGAGATCCTCCGGTCGGGGCACCCTAGACGCGCACATACGTAGATCGCTTTGCAAAAGATCCACAAACGCGGCGTGATGCGCGACCAATCAACGCGGCGTAGCCAGCTGCCGTGTGGGTAACGCCGACCGAGGCGGCATGAAGTTCTGGTTCATTCATCAAGGTCCTGGTTACAGCAACAGCCCCCGAAATATCCTCTCCCTTTCGACCCTCACGTGTCCCCTTGGTACCATTTCGAAATACGTTAACGCATCTCGAAAAATAAATCGAATGTTCCCCGCTTGTTGCTGGTAAATTTAATGGTTCCTGTTCCGTCCGTTGTGCGAACAAATTCAGTACTTTCGTACGTACATTCGCACAAAAACAAATTGCAAATAATAAGCGTTTTTTGATAAATATATATATATATATATATGATAAATACATAGTAATAAAATTGAGAAAATCTAGAAAAATGATTTTATTTTGCAAATAAATATTTTTATATAACAATGAACATCGTGCAAACGAGTACATTAGTTGGTATTATACCAGCAGACATTAATATGTTTATTTTATACTTGTATGTTTAATATATTGTCAGAATTGACTTATAAAATTAATTGAATCGTAACGACACTTAAAATGTAACAAATTGCGCTCGAAGAATTATTCCCAATTTCGTGAATGACGTCGCAGAACTCGAGACGCAAGGGTTCTCTGCATGTCAAAAATCCTTTCGTTGTTAAACGCCACCGATTCGAAATCGTCATTAAATTTGCAACACCATGATGCCGGCGGCCTCGTTGTACGATATATTTCCCATAGTTCCGCGGCGTGATTTCGCTAGAAATCGTAATGGGTGAGCATGCAACTGCTCGTTTGCAGCCGCACGAACGAACGGCACGCACGCACGCACGCACGCACGCATCCCCCACGCGGGATTTGCACGGCTTTCATTGGCTCGGTTAAGTTTGATTAATCTATTCGAGCGCACCATTGTTCGAAACACGGCGGGCAATCCTATTGGTTGAAAGGGGCCGACGATGCACCGCACGGGGGGCTGCATTGCCATTAAGGGGGAGCAGCCATCATGTTGTTCGCGTGAACTGGTTCCGTGTGTGTTTTTCGCATTCGTCCTATTTTATTTCCCCCCTGCGACGGTAGTCGCAGCTTTATTTGTGCATTAAATCTATAAATTACAAAATGACGTAACGCGCGTTGACAAAAAGAAACAAATCAAAATCAATAAGTAAATCTTCATCAACAATTTTTCCCATCCAACACGAATCTCCGCGATGAATTATTAAAATGTTCTTTCATCACATAATACGACAATATATAAACTAACGCAATTGACTTTAATTAACTGCAACGTATATATATGCGCTTGCGTCGCAAAGTAATACACTCGCTCGTGTGGACACCAGAAGTTGCGTCAAATGACTGAAACGATAAATTTTAGAAGCTCTAATTTACTGTAAGATAGAAAAAGCAATGACGCAATGCGTTAATGACAAAGTGAAAGGATTTTGCATCATCGAGCGAATAGTTTCTGTATGGAATTTCCGTAGTGTTTCGCAGTTAGTTAGTTTTTACTCTGAGATAGAAAAAAAATCATGTTCTTTGACGAAATTATTACAGCTTCGTTTTTTTTTTTTGTGACAAAATTGTATTGATTTTATTTGAGATTTATATAATAAATTGTCTGTGTGTGTGTGTGAAACATGAACATTGAAAGAGAAAATCATCGCATTAGCTTTACGTTCTCGTATAAAAAGTAGAAAATATATCGTCTCTCTTTCTCGGATACGTATCGTGATGCACGTAAGCCGAAGTCACGCAACGTACGCGCACGCACGGATTGGTCGCAGCGCCCCTAGATTTCCATCGTGAGGGTGCGGTCTAAGTCCGGGAGGTCGTCACACTTATCAGCTTTGCAGTTCCCGATACATCTGTTCCGGTTACTGTGTTGGAAAACGCAGCGAGAAGCAAAGATCTCACAATGTGTTTCTTTTTAAAAACCATAGTATAAATGATCAAGCAATTAAAATAATACAACACAAAAAGAGATACGATTGTCAAATTATGTGCCAATTTAATGTACATAAATGTTCACATGATAAAAATTCATTATCATTCGCACAGTCTGTTGTGAACCAACAGACTGTGCGAGTGTTCTCCTTAGTTCGGTCACTGGAGTTTGAAAATTGAACATTTGAAGAATCGAGACGTAAAACGTATTAAAACTGTTAAATGTTACTTTTACGATGGTTCTCACGATTATAAACTACGCGACCGTGTGCCATTTTGAACAAGTTCTCCACCTTGACCTACCACATCGCCATTTGGGGTCAGAGTAATTTTGGAGCAACAGATTGGGGGAAGATATTCAATAGGGGATTGGCAACAAGAAGGTGGAAGGCGAGACTCAAAGGAGCCGCTTCTGTAGCAACCCCACAACCGCGCTTATAGGGGTTGGAACATGGGCGGGGATCATTGAATAGCGAATCACGGAGGCAGGCGAGCGATATGTGAGGTCGAGAAAAAAAAAAATATTGTGCCACGTATAATTTGGTCTGTCAAACGACGAGAAACTCTCAACGCATCTTCTGTTATTTGACACATATATTTGAGATAAAACTTGGCGTAATCTTTTTCTCAGAGTACAAACTTTTTTTTTTACATTAAACAATTCCCAATAAAACAATTTAAAAATATTCTGAGCAATATTTATAATACATGTTCATTTTATATTTTTTCGAGAGTTTTTTGTACGTCTCGACTAATTAAGAAATTACTTCGGCGATGCGAATATAAGTTTGTGTAATTCGACAAAATTGCGCTTCACGCAACACTTCACCGTTAGATTATCGTACCGCGTAAATCTTCGTAATATAAATGTTTCTTTCGTGTAAAGCAAACGCACAAAGATTGCAAACCCGTATTCGCGACGTATCCGTGAACGTGTCCGCGCGCAATGAGATACACGAAGGGTTAAAGTCGTACGCGCGGCCCAAGTAGAGCGTAATCGTTGTGCGGAGGACACAAAGTCCGGACAGACAGAAGGAAGAAGAAAGAGAGAGAAAGAAGGATCGACCACCTACTTCGTCGACACAATGGATCACAAATGCGTGGCGACAGGACCCGTAGATATACGGCAGGCTGATTGCTCGTTGTCACTGCGCGGTCGATTGTCGGCTCTTCAAAACCCCGTAGAACCCTGCGGTGTTCTCTTCTCTCTCTCTCTCTCTCTTTCTTTCTTTCTTGTCTCGTCGACGACGGGGCCCGTGATCAACGACGGTCTGCGGGGGCGGCTTAAAACCGGGAGACCGGCCTGACGATTTAGAACTGATCGCGAATAATGTATGCTGTTTTTTTTTAGACTATGATCTTTGAATATTTGTAAATCATATCATACAGTATATGAATTTTTATCTCCCGAGTTTCAAAATTATAGCAATTTTGATTTGAAGCAAATAATGAGAAAAATGTAATAATGCGCTTACCTTTCATACACACACCGCACACAAAATTATTGACAGGAAATTAAAAGTATAAAAGAGAGAAAGAATGAAAATATAGCAAATCAATTTTCTTAAAATCAATTTATTACATAACATTGTACAATGATCATAAATGACTGGCCAATTAAGATAACCTATTGGTGAAAATCACAATCACGTGATTGACATCGCAATTGTGATATGAGAATATTTTTACAAATAACTGTTTTGTTTTACAATTTACTCGCTATGTTGCTATCTTTACGCGCAAATATGTGTACAGCCTTATTCGTAAAATTTAGAGACGTATATATTTATATTTTATATCGTTATATTACTATAATAAGGCAATTGCAAAGCGATTCCTTCTCTAAAGCATCGAGGCGTCGTTGTTATACAACTGCGCTCGTAAGTGCTAATTAATTCTAAAGAAAGTTAATCTTCTCGCAATACTTCTTAGAAGTCGGGGTGCGCAACTTACATCTACGAGATTCAACGTGAATTTTACAGTGTATCATGCACATAAATATTTAGCAATCACACACGGTGTAAAACGCTTGCGTGTGAGAACGATATATATAACCTATTTATATTTACAACAGATCGCATATTATGTAAATAAGATCAATCGATTATACATATTTATATAAATAAAAAATTCTTTACCGTTCAAACACCGCTATAACACATTCTATAATACAAGTTTTCACATTTACATAAATATAATGACGAAACTAGAAAAGCATACTAATATGTTTGATTTACTAACTTTTTGCACTCGTCCTCAATTTTCCGATAAAAAATAACAATACGATAACAAAAGCAATAACAATTAAAATCTATAAAAAAAGAAAAAAAGAAACTTATTCTTCCGCGAATAGAAACACACGCGCGCGTTAACAGTTTCGGTCCGTTCAATTCCGGCTTTGAAACACGAGATAAATAAAATGATAAATAAGTAACGATACAGCGATTTTTTTTTTTTTTTAAATAACTTTCTTCCGCGGCGAAGCTTATTATTTACTAATTCGATCACTCATCACAATTAATTCAGTGAATTCTTCCGCAAACCTGAGAATCAATGCCACCCAGATACGGATATCCGCTCTTCGCCTCGCTGGGGCTGTGCGGCGTCACGTGGGGTGTCATCCCCGTCGAGACCGGCACTCCGGATGCGCCACCTTGCACCATGCAGGCGCTCACGTTGGTCGCGGTCGGACTGACGCTGCTGCCCAATGTGCCCAGATTGAGATTCGTGGGAGTTAGATTGGACGCGAGGTTGCCACCACCGTAATGGGAAGCGTTAAACAATCTGCAATTTTCAATTCACACATTTGATTTGATAACATCAATCCGATTTTATGTAATTTTGCTACATGATAAGTATGCGCATTTGAGGATAATGCAGTTAACGTGTGTGATTTTAAAACAAATTGGAAAAAATTCTCTATATCAGGAGCAATCAATCAAGAATTGCGAGATCGAAAATGAATACGATAATGTGCCGATCGATAAGATCAATTCGAAATATCGAAAAAATACGAGTCGAGATTTTAATCGATATTTAAAGAAATATATTTTATATTCGTCGATCCGATTATAATTATCTCTCTCGTTCAATTTGTTGAATATAAATTAACTATTGTATGCGCACGCGAATATATGTGTATTTCGGTCACACGTGGGAGACGCAGTGAGAGACGAGACGAGACGAAACGAGTTGCGGCTACAATGGTGAAAGGTGTCCACGCGCGGTATAATGCGAAAATGAAATTCCGGCGTGTGTTTCTCAAAGTGGTTACCGCCGTTTGCAAGGCGAAACCGCACCAACACACGCTGCGCGAATCGGTTAGGGCGTGTCGGGGACCGATTTCCAAACGCCGTCGCGGCCCTTTGAGCATTTCGATACACCGCCGTGATTAGGGATTTCAAATCGCGTCTTACGACGAGGTGAAACCCTTCGCTTTCATTATCATTCGGTCACTTTCCATTTCACGCCAAAAATAATTGCTGTAAATTATTTATAACATTGTTAATACTGCACAATAAAACAAAAATAGTTAATACGAAACACGTAAGTTATAAAAACTAACTAATTTTGACTAAGTGTCAAGAGTCACAAAAATCTTCATTTCTAATTAAAATAAACCCGTAACATATACGTGTTCGATGTTTTAAAGCGCGATCAGAGCGTATCGGTAACGATTATAGAGCGCGAGAGAGGTCGGCCCTTTGAGCGTCTCACCACGACAGTTAAGCACCTTAAAATCTCATCTGGGTCGGACCTAGTTCACACTATAAAAGTTTTTGTTCTTTTTTTTTAGAGCGACGTTTTTTGGTGCGGAAGCCGCGCGATTTATCGTACTCCGAATCTATTTTCGCGCGTAAGAATGTGTCTTCCTCTCCGCCCACAAATCAAGGTTTTTCTATGGTAGCATTAACGAATTCTTAGGAATACGGAACGATGATAGGAATTTACAACCGGCGTTTCGTCGGGGAATCGAATTAAAATCGGTCGTCGAATAAAATACGCAACTTAACTTTCTTCATCGTTCTCGTTCGGAACGAACATTTAAGCCTCTCTTTTTCTCTCTTGTATGAAACACATGAGTCAAAGGTTTTCTGGATAAACAAGTTGTGTATTTTGAGAACACCTTCAAGCCACGTTTGTGCAATGTGAGATGAACTGTTCTCACGCTAGAACAACAGAGATCAGTTTAAAAAAAAAACATTTTTTTCTCGTGACACAATCTTCCAAATTTTTCTGCGAGCACGTACCAAAAAGATCGCTCGGAAAAAATCGACATTTCTCACGGTTTTTGCATTACTTGAATGCACGGAATTATATTCTTCCGGGCGTCTACGTAACACGTCTCTTCTCTTGTTCCCCGCCCAAGGAATTTGCATCATTAACGTGACTCCGTGAGTCGTTCCACGCGGAGATAGTGGAAGTTTTCGCGCTGCCTAAACGCGAAACGACGCAAAAAACGACGACAGCCATCGACAACGGCGAAACTGTTCGAGCTCTCGAGGGGAGGATAGCTCGAAGACCACGAAGACAAGACCCCCCACGAGAGAGAGAGACTGACGCTCCACCGGGGGTCCCACCCGGCATTATCCCGGATGTTTAAAACCGGCGAACGCTGCTGCCACGTGATGGCTCGGCACGACGAGAGCCCAGTTCCACGACGACGGTGTCCGAGCGAGACGGAAAGCTCGAAACGCCGCCGCGAGAAAGAGGTGCGCGCGGTAACGCGCGCAGATAAAGACGGCGTAGCCGGGGTGTTTGGAACAATTAATTCAGCCATTGTGGCGTAATAACAGGTTGCTCCGGTGGCCGGGTTGCTACAGTGTGTTGTTACACGCCGAGAGCGGACGAGCCGATTCACCCGAGCCGCAGATAGCAAGAGAAAGAGAGAGAGAAAGAGAGAGAGAGAGAGAGAGAGAGAGAAAGAGAGAGAGAGAGAGAGAGAGAGAGAAAGCGGGAAGGGGACGGAGAAAGTTGAGAACGAGGAGGACGTGAGAGAAGAAGAAGAGAGAGAGAGAAAGGCAATGAGGGCCCCACCGACATGTTTTCTGTGTGGTCCTCAATTATGTTGCTTCTTGGGGCCTCCGTAATGAAACGCTACCGGCTAATAATCCAACCCGGGTCTTGATCCTTCGACGTTGCGCGCCGAGAATACCTGCGCCGTGATCTACCTTTAACCGATCGCGAATAATCGTTGCGGGGGTGTCTGCTGCATAAAAGACAATCGCGCGTTCGATCGCGCGTCTGGTTTTAAGTCATCCGAAGACAGATAATTATCAAATTTTGCGATGCATAAAGTAGTAAAAGTCGCGTGTTACAAAATAAGTGTTATGTTTGCTGCAATATGCGAATTTTTGACTCCGTGGTCGTTTTATCGAGTTCTTTTCATTATAAAAAACAACGAGAACAATAATAATAATCATCATCATCAGAATCGCAACCGAAAGAAGATGCACAATGTAACAATCTGCGCGAAATAATCTCTCTTTTTATCTCCTTTTTTTTTATAAAATATAAGTATAGTTTTCTCATAAATACAATAATTACTTGCTGAAACGCACTTACCCGTAATTCTCCGGAGTCGCCCGCGACCATTGCTGCTGCGCATAGTAGTTTTCTCCATAGTTGTAATGCTGCGAATAGCCGGCGGTGGTTGCTGCGGCGGCGGCAACGCTCGCCTGCCCGTAGCTCTGATAGCTCTCGGCACCGCTGCCGTAGTGCTGCGTCTGGAAGGGTTGTAAACTCATGGTGTTGAAGGCATTCAGTTGCTGGCTGTTCAACTGTTTGCGCAGTCTGGCGCGCCTGTTGCTGAACCAGACCTGTACCCGCGCTTCCGTCAGTTTTGTTCTGTAAAACAAAAAATAGAAATATCCGCATTGCGTCAGTAAGAGAATACAACAACATGTACGTATAGTTTTCATATGTTGCTAGAAAATTTTTTTTGATAACGGATATTTGTGACGTCTAAGTTTTTTTTTTTTAGAATTGATTTCGTATGTTGAAAATAATCAACTGATTGAAATACCGATGTATTTTATATTATATTTGAACGCGATTTCAAAAAAAAAGTTAATTATTTCAATTTTCTTGTGAAATACATACTTTTGCGCGAGTTCCTCTCTGGTGTACACGTCAGGATATTGCGTACGAGCGAAAGCTGTCTCCAATTGTTCCAGTTGTTCGCCGGTAAAAGTGGTTCTACTCCTACGTTGCTTCCTTTTCAGCGCGATGCCAGGTTCGCTTTCCGTGTCGGAATCGTCACCGCTGCTGCCGGCTGGAAATAAATCAAGAGAGAGAGCGCACAAACATTATTCTATTCTTTAATAATAATTCTCCAAAAAAATCTCGCAGCTTGCAACGGGATAAAAATTTTTTAATTTCTTTTTGTCATCCAACGACAAAAAAAAACAACTAAAAACAATCTTATTTCATATGGAACGAACATTAAATATCGCCGATATGGCTCTCGGGGGAGAAACATAAGCGCGAGTTCTTCTTAATAGTGCGGTAAGAGCACTCTCTCGGTCCAGCACGTGCTGCACGTCAGATATCGAAGATAGGAAGCGAGTTGTTCACGCCCACAGTTCACACGCCGGTCTCGGCAACCCACCATTAAGACCCTTCTGATTACAGCCGTGCCCAGCCGAACCTATACTAAACTAAAACACCGGAGAAATTAGGGTCCGCCGCGAAGAAATTAAGTTCTTTGACATGTCCCGTCCCATCCGAGCTAAACGAAAGCCCGTGGTGAGTTTCCGAAGGGGGAATATCGCCGTTGGTCCGTTGGCGTCTCACGAGACACTATTTATGGAATTTTCGAGTTTGATTTGTGTAACCCTTTTTCGGAGGTCCAATTTGTTCGCCACGGTCTGTCCCTGTTACGTTGACCTCAAACAACCGCTTCGTCAATAATCGCTCTCTCACTGATACGAGAATAAAAAAAAAAAACCACACACGTTTGATTGTATCTTTAATTTAGAACAAAGAGAATCTGTGACGCACAATGTTTTACAATTATTCAAATTAATAAACAATCTGAAATGTTCTCCAACGGGTTCCAACAGATTTTGTTTTCTCGCTTGCATCTCTCGCGGTGCATCTTCGATTAACATACAATGTAAAGTTTGGGTGTGTCAAGGTAGCATTTTTTCGCGCTCCACTCTGCAATTTACAATATTATTCCCAGATTAAATCGATCGACCGGCGGCCAACGAACGTCTAAATCAATAGCACCTGCACGAACGTCAGCCGGAATTCGAGGTGCACGGCGGTTCCCGCAAGATTAAAGACTGCCGCGCGCTCGTAAATCGTCGCGACGCTTTGAGAAGCATACCTAACGATTTTTCGGGATTCTAACGCTTTTCACAAGCTATCAACGCTTATCCTGTACCAGTTCATGAATTTTTGTTCCGAATAAAAAAGAATTGCAGGTAGCTTTCAGATACAAAAAAAAAAAAAAAAAAAAAAAGACAAGTTTTTAATTTTGTCCTTCAATTTTACTGACATTTTCCAATTAGAAAACTCGATATCCAATTTTGTTATCTCTTACGCGCGAATATTGCTCGAGTTTCGCGAAGACCAGTACAATAATTGCGAAAGACGTCGAGAGAGAGAGCCGCTCGCGAAGGAAACGTCGCGCGGCTGACGTTAAACAATTACCATCGAGAAATGATCGACGAAGCGAGACAATCGTCATCGTCGTCGTCGTCGTTGTCGTCGTCGTCGTCGTTGTCTCGGACGCAGTAAACAGCGGAGGTCTCAATCACAAGTCTGGTCTGGAGAGCAGCAAGAGGCATCTAAATCAATAGAGGGTGCCGTTGTGTTCCGCGAACAAAACGGCGGGTACGAGGTGTGTTGTTGGCGGTTTGTAAGATTAGAGGCAGGCGGCGGGTACGAAGCCGAGGTAGACCACACGCCGCGCGTATATATGCGCGCTGATCTTCCTCCGTCTTGCTCTCGCGCGCGCACCTTTCGTGAACTCACCTCTCCTCTCAATGCCTTTCTCGTACCGTTCCCCGTTTCTCTCTCTCTCTACTCAGATTCGACTGTTCGCTCTCCTCTACCGTTCCACCTGATTTCTTCCCTCACGTTTGTGTTTCCGACTCTGTTCTACCTGACTTTTTCTCCCTCTCTCCCTCCCTCTCTCTCTCTCTCTCTCACACACGTCTCCCGATCGTCCTTCCGATTTCTTTTACAAGTGAGACAGACCGCGGGGTTATTTATCGCGCGTGTTCTCGGCTACTGGAACCGCCGGATGATCTTGCGTTCTGGGACCCGATGTCCCGGCGAGGAGCGAGACGAACGCGGAAGATGAATGATGCCAGGGCGAAATGATTGAAGCGCGTATATTTGTGAGATCTTTCAAGTTCCTCCGCGTTCGTTCCGTTGCCGTCTCATGTAGTTACTTCGCTAGATCGCTCGCTATTTCTCATCGGGTTGAACCTATTTAATGGTCCGTTACTTAACAATAGTATGCGCATCATCTGTGCGCGCGTGTGACATTGTATTTACCTTCTATTAATCTTATCTTTTGAAAAATTAATTCACAAATCAGATGATTCCCCTCCTTCCCCCATACATGTACTACAGTAGCAATATAAGCAAAAATACATACGTTTAAAACAAACACGAAAGCGCAAATAATATTCTACGAAATTGTATTACTTTATTTGTTACCGCGATAAAACGTTATTATCGTATTAGTGCCTCTATATCGCTCGAGTTATCTCGCTTATTTCCAACGTCCTTGGATATTTGCCGGTCATAAGCCGCCGCCGTCGTTCCAATACCAACCACACCGCCGACTTTGCAGGCTAAACCATCACGCTGCGATCGAATAAAAAAGACGCGTGAAGGTTCTACGCTCGAGATGCGCATTCAAAAAGAATCTTCGTCTTTCTTCGCTGCTTCTCCTCTCTTCTTCTCGTCGTCGTCGTCGTCGTCTTCTCCTTCGTCTCTTCCCTTTCGCGGCGCGGCGCGGCGCATTAGCGGCGGGCAATAGCGCCTGACTTTCTTCTTGTTTCTTCCCTTTGTTCGAATCATAATACATAATTTACCCGGCTTGCGAACGCAATAAAGATCTATGTGTCTTCCTCGAGGATCTCTTCTATCGAAGATCCGTTCGTGATTGAATCGCTACCTTCGGACAATTTTATTTTGACATCCCGATTTTGCAGTCAGTCGCTTTTCCATTCAAAGACACTAAGGACTAGAACGAAACATCGACGAGATTTGTCATTTCGTGTGTTATCTCAATATATTTTGCGAACTTTGTCAATTAAAAACGAAACTCAGATTGTTATATACCTCGTGATATTTTCGTAGAAAAAAAAAAAAATATTTTTTTAGCGACAAAAAGAAACAAGTTGTCCGTGATAAATTATCGCAAAAATAGCCGCTTGTAAGTAACAGCGTGACAAGATTGATCAATGCGACAGTGGAGCAACAGGTCGAGCGCGCCGAGCTCTTCTTGCGCGAAGTCGCAATCTCGGGCATACGTCTAATCAAAACTAAATCTTCCCGACAAGGTAATAAACTCGACACATCTACGCGCTACGGGACGTCTAATATTTCTTCGCGCCCCTTACCGCCGGTAATAAATAAAAAAGAATGGAATTCCTTTTTACGCTCCTCCTCGCCGACCAGACCTATATTTCTACCAATCTCGTCGTGCCCGTGAAACTGCTGGATACTTCGATAAATAGTTCTCTGGTGTACAAACACTTGCGCGTGCGTGCGTGCGTGCATGCGCGCGCGCGTGAAGATTCGTATAAAATTTAATAAAAGCAACGAACAATAAATAAAAACAAACAATAACATCGCGTAATAACACCTTTCGATGTGATCACAGTAATTGAATTCCTTATTACTTCAACATAAGCTTAAATAATTGCGTTAACCTCCGAACTCCTTCGAAGGAGTTTGATGTGAAACGATAACGACTTCCTGATCGCGTTACGCGCACACGAAAAAAAAAAAAAAAAAAAATGCGCATTTCGGATTCACTGCGAGCACGCGAGCTACGCAAAAGCCGCGATCGTCACGGTCGCCTTGCCTCAATTAACTTAACACACGGCTACGCTATAATTACGCTTATCGCTCGATTAACCTCGGATGCTTCGTTCGCGTCCTCCGCGCGGTGGTTTATGCAGTGTTAAAACGACGAGACGCGAATATCGCGAATATCAGTTCTTGCAAATCTTTCCCGACGATTGGATCGCGTCGAGAGTGGTGGAAAAATTTTTAAATAAACTTACCGAGAATCCCATCGATGGAGTGATTTCTGCGCGGGTCATCGCTGGGACGAGTCTGATTGGTTGGTCCACGTAAAAGTCGGGTGATGCTAGACACGGAAGGTGCCGAAGTTTTGTCGCAGACTCCGTCCTGCTGACAGAACCGCATTGGACCAGTTAGCATAATTTTTCTTTATTCATAAATAATTATTAAACTATTAATATGACATTACTGAAGTGCAATAAAATCTTTTTAATTATTTAAACTATTTAAAAATGCGCGCTTTATACTTTATAATATTTTCTGCAACAATGATTCAAATAAATTGTCAATAAAGCTGACGCAATTATTGATGTGTAATGACATGTATCATTTATTAAGCAAATTTATTTATTAAAACGTATTTTATTTATTAAGTAATTTGCTCATTAATAGATTAATCGATATTAAATTAATTTTTTTCTTTATTCGTATACACTTTTTCTTAATTAATATTTTGCATCATAGCAGACGTGTGTCTTGAAATCTGTTCTTTATTTGAAATAAGATGCAATGGCGATATCGACGGACCTTTATCAGTTTCTCGCGTATCTCCCAGCTAAAGATGCCTGGATTCTGCCGTCTGAGATCCTCGATTCTCGCCTCGACTTCCGGCGTGGCGACTCGCGGCTTGCTGCCGCCGATCACGCCGGGCCTGATCGATCCCGTCTCCTGATATCGATTCAGGATCTTCGAGACGCAGCCGTGTGAGACTCTCAGCTGTCGCGATATGACGCACGGTCTGATACCGGCCGCCGCCATCTCGACGATCTTCAGCCGAATGTGATTGGGCAACGGACGGCCGTTGATAAACACACCGCCCAACTGGTTCACGCGACCCTGTCCTGCAATAATAATAATAATAATTATTATTATTATTATAATAATAACGCGCTTTTTGTTTGTGGGTAGAGACCGTGGTGGCTTCTTAGAGATGCAAGAATGTGTTCGCAGCGCGTCTATTTACGTGACAAAAGTCACGAGTTGCACAATAGATATGATCAATAATGGAAGAGGCGAGCAAAGGATTGTCGACACACGAACGGTGTCGGGAACTTCAAACGAAGGTGATGTTGTGGAGTTAGTAAATAGATAATAGAAGTCCGCAAACACTATTCCTGGCAGTTAACGCCGTTTAAAAAAATATTGTAGAATTAAATATGTGTTGCACCTTGCGAGACATTAGGAAAACAAAGCCTGTCATTTATATTGAACATTAGCGACGAAGGAAAAATAGCGTGTTGTTTTGCCGTTGGAACAATGTGGCACGGCGGTATGCGCAAGTAGCGATCATTTTTGCACATGAGAATAAACGGACACAAAAGTGACGGAGAAGAAGAAGAAGAAGAAGAAGAAGAAGAAGATAAACTCGCGCAAAAGAGGATCGCGGACAAAGCGCGGCGACACGCGAGGTGCCGCTCAAACGTCGCTAATTACCGGTAATTAGTCCACCTTCCCGCGCGCGCGCGCGGCACCCTCTTCATTAACTTAATTATAATTACGAAGTCAAACAAACGGCGTTACGCGCGCGGACAAAGAAGCGGAATGAGATGCGCGCGGACGTGAGATGGCTCTCAGGACGACGCTGAAACCTCGCGTGCTTCAGAAAACCACGAAGAAGAGGAGGACTCGGCGTTAGGAGTTACGGCCCTGGGTTTTGCACGGAGCAGTAAAAGCCCGCGCGGTATGACGCAGAGCGAGAAGGGATGGCGGAGGTGAAGCGCGGTCTTAAAACTCGAAGGAAAAAGTCTCAAAAAGCGCTTTCGCGGGGACAACGAGAAGACTCTCGAACGACCGGGAACTGCATATATATTTATATATATATTCTGCGCGTTTGCAAGTATTTACATAAAAGTGGTTTTGCATAAGAGACGCGTTGCGAAAAGAAGATGCGCGCGCGTTTATACGCGCTGCGTACGCGTGTGTGTTCGAAAAGATTTAGACTGCTACGAGTTTTTTCGTTAAGAAAATTTTGCGGCAAAGTATTTCCACTTAAAATACACGCGTATATGTATTCAAATGTCACATATTCATCAAAAATCCTGACGAAATTTATTAATGACAAGACGAATGCGCGTCTCGCGAACGCGTTGCGAATTTCTGGCACCCGAAACACTCTCTCGCGCCCGCGATTGCGGCGTCGCGGCTCGTGATGTATTTTCGCCGGCTACCTGCTGCGCGAGAAACGCGCGGCGTTCTAAGAGTCCGCTAATTACCACGGCGTAATTCAAAAGACGACCCCCTTCCAGTTCTCCGGGCACAAAAGTAGTCCCGTTTCGTCGTTCATCACGGGCCCCCGGAGATTTACATCCCCCTCCGCGTCGTCTCCGCCGCCGCCCTTGGTCGGGAGAGAAACCCTCGGTATAAGGACATATCCGCGAGTGCGTGCAACGCACACACTCCTACACACGCCTGACGCGGTATAGGCCGGGTTACGGTCCCGCCGAACACCTCTCCGATGTATGACGTCAGTCAGGCCGCGGGGCCCGACGGGATTACAGGCAAGATCAAAAGGCGCCGACCGCCGCCGCCGCCGCCGCCGCCTTCGACGACGACGAGTTTTCAGTGCGAGGCGCGCGAACGCCGCGGATATTCCCGGCGTAAATTTTCGGATAAATTGGACGCATATCGCGTATGAAAACTTCAAAGTGTAAAAATACGAGTAGACGAAATATGGATAATAAAATGTTGGAGATACGATAATAAATTAAGAGAAAAGTTAAAAAATCAATACGTGTACAGATTATGTCACGTCAGCTTATAGTATACGATAAATAAATAAAAGTGATCGTAGTTGATAAAAAGAGAAGGTTAAAGGTCTTAATAAGATTTGAAAAAAAAAAAAAAAAAAAAGGAAAGAGAGAAGGAGATTGAGTTACTTTCTCTTATCTTGATAGCCTTTCCAGGCGCTAATATGGACGTAAAAAAAGAAAAAAGAAATAACACGGGAACGATAATTAAAGACAGAGCTAATATAGTGACTGATCAATTTTCTCATCAAGATATCCGCGTGCCAGGTTGCAGGGGATTATTATAGGAATTCGTGCGGCCGCGCAGAATGAATGAATGCCAGGAATGCCGGACTACCATTCGTCGCACGTGCAAGAGACGTATATGATGCATGTATACGCTTGCTTTGCGCGGGACGGTGTTTTTTACGCACTTCGAGCCGATCGGCAAGTCGAGTCACGGAATCGGTTAGTTGAACGTAGCTACGTCCGTGCGCGCGAGCGAGCCCTTTATCCGCGTTTTTGTTCCCTATTCGCCGATGAATATTGTTCACCGCGCGTTCTCTTGCGAAACCCGCCGCGCGCCATCTTTGCGAGTTTCCCACTGCAAATGCATTATATTTTGTGCGATTAGTCCCGACATCGATTGCAAAAGCCCGCACGTATTTTCCTGATCTCCGCGGAATTTACGAGCCTCTCCCTCTTCCTATATCTCTTGTAAAACACTAAACTAAAGAATTTCTGACGACAAATATCCCGCGGTTTTATACTTGCAAATGTAAAAAAAAAGAATGTAAAATCGAATATTTTCTGTTTTCTTCTCGCAATTTTATTTTCTCAACGCGACAGCACCGTAAGTTTGGTTATATAAAACGACTATCTCTCAAGTGAGAGAACGATTTAATCCAAGCAGCTGGTGAGTGATTTATGTCCTCGCGTAATTTATTATACGGCGCGATCGTCGCGCGGTAGTCATTTTCGCGGGCGCTTCGGTGGAGGACCACCCCGAGAAGACCCCGAGAGCGAGACATATGGTAGTAAGTAAAACGTGGATCGAGGAAATAATTTTAAGCATGAATTATTGATAACGGCCGATTGATTGTCAGCGATCAGACTTAATGTCCATGATTCGTGTGACGCGACGCAGAGGCACGGAGGGGTGGGGGGGAGAGGCGTCTTCCGTCTAATTTGAATTCGGCCGGCGAAGCGTCGCGCATCGTTAATTTTTACCTGCGAGGCAAGAGCCGTCGTCACAACCGAAGGTTGTTCTTTGGAAACTTAGAGAATTCCCAAATAATTGCAACGCTCATATCCCGCCCGAGTGTTTCATTACCCGCGCGTCTGCGGGGACGCGCGGTTACAAGCGTCAATTAATCCTTTTTCTCCTCCCGATCGTCCGGGATAAATTATTACGTGCGAAGAGCCGATACACCGTATTTTGCGACTACGACACTACGCAGTTTACGTGAGAAACCGTGCAATTACGCTTCTTTACGCGGGATTTTTCTTTATGGTAATTTGTCTCTCTCTCCTCTTGTCGCAGCTGCTTATCGCTCTTAAGCAGTAATAACAACGTTATTCGGGTATTAATGGAATCTCATTAATGACGTATCGTGCTATGCGATCAGGACCAATTTTCGATTGATAAAGTACGCGGAACGCGTCTTACGGCCGGCGAAATTTATAGGATGTGATCGCGTGATCGTTAAATTCGCTTGAAGTCCCGAGACTTTCAACCGATTATCCAATTACAACGTCAATGTCAATGTAACATCCAGTTGTGCGTTCTTTTACCTCCCCGATGATTTGTAGTGAATTAATTTTGTAAGAAAAGTGGAACAAATGTCTCAAAACCACTTAGAGCTGATAATGGTGTTCGATCTCTACCTCACGCCGAGCACTCGTGTGATACATGTGCAGTATTCGATGCGTGAGAGATCGAGATCGAGTACGCAAGTGTGTATTTTACCCGAAATTAATTAAGTAGCCAAATTATTTTAGTCCCAAAAGAATTTTTTTTACGATAAAAGCACAAATATAAAAAATATTCGAAGATGTTTTTCGGGTTTGAAACCGACACGCGTATACCGCGTTAATGTCATTTTTATACCGACGTTTCGTGAAACATTTCAGCTCTGATATATCAGTCTGCTCTTGAAACCCTGATGAAGTGAATTGAAATGTTCACGAAACGTCGGTATAAGAATGACATTAACGCGGTTAAAACCCAAAAAACATCTTCGAATGTTAATACAACACACCGCGAAAGCGTCAAATATCAGATCAATATAACAAATATTCTAGTTTGCACGTTTGTAAACTCTTCCAAATTTTTGCACACGTACCACATTGAAGATGATCAATTAATTTATTCAGATCTATCGCACACAAATCGATAATAATAACTTTTTCATAAACGCCATGTTGCATTCTGCGGCGGGTGTTCGACGGCGATAAATAATTGCGAAGCAGCGCGCGCGCGCGCGTCCGAACACAATCCCGCCCGAGAGCAAAGGGGTTAATTTCGCGAGGACGGCGACGTTCATTTCATCAATTACGCAATCTGCCGCGATACGACTGTGGCGATCGTCACTACGGGCGGTCCCCGATGGGCGGAAGATGAGAGCGGAAGGTACACGCGCGCATACCTGAGTGGGAGTAACCGCATGTACCGAAGGGATGCATGTACTTAGCGGCGCGGTGTAAGTTCCGAGTGGCGCGAAGGCTTCAATCAACGTGCCGTCGCCCGAGGCCTATCCGATATCAGACATTAGGTACCCACGAGTACGTAAAGCCTTCTACGGGACTCTCTTCCACGTTCCGACGCCCACCACGCGGCGTCTGTCTGTGTGTGTCGAACTTTATTCGAAAGTAGATTCTCATCCCGCTTCGAGAATTGAACGAGGGAGATTTAAAGGCGCGCGCGCGCGAGAGAAAGCGCTCCAGATATAAGTGGATACGTACGTGTTAATTTTTCTATTGTATTGTTTAAAAAAAAAAAAGAACAAAGAGCGAATATTATTTATGAGAGATTAAGGATTTTGACAAAAAAATAAAATAAAATAAAATAATACGTGAATATATATTTTAACGCAAGTTTTGTTGAGTTATTGTAAAAGAAAAATAAAGTTTTCCTTTTTTTAAATAGTTCCTTGGTGTGTTAGAGGCGGAAAATTTGAACGTGTACAAAGAATCAAACTGTTAAGTTTATTTTGCTTTGTCTTATTAGTTGGCGTCGCTGCACTGTTCCCACAACTCATAAATTACACAATGCGGAACGACGTACGGGCTTCTGAGCGATTACTTATGCACAATCTCTCTTTTCCTGGCCTTTAAATCATTACGGTAGACGATACGCGCGCCACGTGTTGCATTGCAAAATGCCCGCCGCGACTTCTGTCTAGATTAGTCTTCGCACACACACATCCGGATTATATAATATAGATCCGAGTGTCGTAAGTTTGCGCGGCTGATAAGCTCTCAGAGACGCTGAATTAATCGGGGGTTGGGACCGGTCGCGAATCGGGACAGTTACTGGTCGTTATAAAGATCGGAGTCGCGGCTGTTTGAAGTTTGCACCAGCGGGCAGTGAATAATTCTGTCAAAGTGCATCTCGTAAAACCATTAACATCGGTTGTAAAGTATCCGCGGCACCGTTGCCGGCAGGCGTCGACCGTCGTTCGTGAAACTCATGCTGACGTTAATAGCAATATTCTCGATGAGGAAGAGTTTCTGAGAATAGAGGAAATGCCTTTCGTGCGATGTCATTTTTTTTTTTTAAGAAACTAAATACTACGAAATGGATTTTAAGTTTGTCATTTTCATCAGGAAAAACAACTCGCACAAGTTACTTAAAAATAAATTATATTAAAAATACAAATACGTATCACCGCACAAATTCTTAATGAAATGAAAACAATTCTCTAATTAGTGTCATTTTTATACCGACGTTTCGTGAACATTTCAGCTCACTTCATCAGGGTTTCGAGAGCAGCCTGATACTATCAGGCGGTTCAAACCCGAAAAACATCTTCGAATGTCAATACAACACACCACAAAAGCATCAAATATCAAATTCTTTAATTGGTTTTTCCTCATTTGAAAAATAATTAGTAGTGTACAATAAATATTATATGTGTACAGTAAATTGTATTAAATTATCATAATATTAGAAAAATAAATACATGAACTCGTTTACCGTCGCATCGAAAAATATGGGCGTGAGAGTTTATTGTATATCACAAAGGAAAGAATATCAAAGAATTTTCAAACTAAAATACCTATAAAAGATATAATGATGTAAAATAGTCTTTTCAATCTTTCGAGTTATTTCCTAATAATTTATTGAAAAAGACCTCATACCTTGAAATGGGTATCCGGTGAAGTAGGGTGCCATGTTGAGAGTACTGACTGCCATCTAGCTGTCCCTATTTCCAAGAGAAATCTCTTTCTCTTCCTCTCGGCCACCAGCACCACACAAGGATTCTCACTTCCCTTGAGTCCCTCTCACACCCGATTTTCACAACTTTACTCGAATTCTTGTTTTATCCGGAATTTTCTCACTTTACTCCGTAATATATAAATTAAAAGGACGGCGACGACGTTTGACAGCGGCAACAGCGACACTCCTGGACAGGATTACTGTCGAAGAGCCAAAACGAAGGAGGCTCGCTTCCCTTTTTTTTTTTTGTGTTTATTTTTGCTGGAACACGCGAAGCGCAGGCCTGACCTGTTAGCTCCGGGGTCTCGGCACGAACTGCCGGTTTCTTCGGTCAGGATTGTCGACGGCGCGCAAAGAAACGAAGAAAGGCAGGTTCAAAAGCAGGAAAGCCTCCTCGGGAAGGCTCCGCCTTCCGTCGTGGGGCCCCCTTTGAGAAACCACTAGCCGACGGTCCCAGCCGTGCTCTTTCATGGCTTTATCGGCGCCACTGCATTGGTCACCTGCCAGGTGATCTCACCGCGGTGGAGGTGGTCACATGTCCGGCTCCGCCTTGCACAACAAGCGAAAACTTCCTCCACTAACACACACGCTAACGAAGACGACGCGCTCGTTGTCGTGTTCATACTTGACTTGCGATACACCCCTCGCGGGCGATATCGATACATCGGTCGATTTCTTCCGCGCGATTTGACGCGCTTGCATTTTTTTACGATCAGAAGAGAGATTTCAAAATCTCGCTTCAACGTTCACAAAGAACATTTTCGAAAGTTCACAAAGGAAAAATAAATTTTTTCGTCTGTGTCAAAGTAGCACTATAAGTTATGTAAAAAATATTTAACTGTATCTTTAGGTTTTTATATATAAACGTGTGAAAAATATTCCAGTTTTATTTAAAGGTCTGTACACTATCAGTAGCGTTTCGCTACTTGTGTGTGCGACTTATAAATTTATATGTACTACTTATATAAAGCAGATCAAGATCGCAATCGAGGTTAAATGAACGATAGCTAATTCACCTTCGATTCGCGTACGAGCGTCGCGGCCGTCGACATCTCTCGTCGCGGAACTCGCTTGACCGCCTCCGTTGCCGGATCGCGTGATTCCGACAATGAGATCGCGCGAAGATCAGAGAGACCCGCTGTTGCGCGAGTACACGCTCCCGCGGTCGCGATCCGTTCCGCATCGTTAATTAAAATTAATTACATTTGCCGAGTAATCGTGCGTTTAATTGAATCGCGGGATTCCGCCGCGATTCCGATGCGCCACCACCGCCCGACCGTGTTCGGGTTGAAAGCTTCCGCCCGAGAAGATGGAAACAGGGCGCACCGGGCAATAGCGGAATATCGGCATTTTGCACGGACACGCTTCTTCCCGTGTCCTTAATTTCTCACGGCGGCGCGCCGCGTGTAATCGCGATCACGACAACGTCATTATTCCTCCATTTAATTAATGCCGATCGTAACTAATGTCGTAAACTGTCCATCTTGCGTGTGTGTGTGTGTGTGTGTGTGCGAGAATCGACGTGCAAGATGAACGACGAAAGTGGCGCGACGGGAAAAGAAGTCTCAGCGAGTCTTTCGAAGACCGCGGGATCACTCCGCGTGATCATCTCGCTACAACAAAAAAAAAAAAAAAAAAAAACTAAAGAGACGAACCGCGCGTCCTAGAACGCATGCGGAGCGCGCGATCGCCATTTCTTTCTTTCCCTTCTGGGACATTAGACATTTCGGACAGGTTCCCCGTTGCGACGAAACCACCTCGTCTGATTCGCGTGTAATCACTTCGGACATCGGCCGAAAAGCCGCGAGGACTCGGCCGGACGGGCATCGCAATCTGGCACAATAGGTCTTAGGACCCCGCGCCCCGCATTAATATATACGCGTTAAGCCTCGCGCGATGCGAATCGGCCGCGACGATTATTTTGTCCAACGTTCGCGCGGAAAGAACGTTCGGGATGTGACGCGCGTTGCACCGAAACATTTGTGTGCTCGCCGTGATGTACATTATTTTTAACGCGAAATCTCTCGGCGTCAATCCTGAAAAACGTCTTTTATAATCCAAAATTTATTTACGAATCGATGCATTGTCAACGAAAGTATCTCACATTGTGTGTGCGCGCGTGCGCGCGCGCGCGAGAGGTAATTTAATTTATCCCGAGTGAGAAGTCCCGCATTAAGCGCGACGTCGATCAACGTCGAAATTTTCCGCGCGGATCACGAGGGCTAATTAATTGTCGGGCCCCGGTCGGCGTGCGCAATCCGCATTAATCAGCATCGAGTGCGCGCGCGAGAAAGAAGAGGAAGACTGGGAGGGCCCTTTTACGTGAAATTTATGCGCGCCCTCGCCGCTCCGAGCAGAGTCACCCCGATCGGACACGCTGTTGAGCCGCGCCGCTCGTCATTAGGCGGATAATGCATATCTTAATGATTACGAAACGAAACACTGACACCGGAATGGATACGTGTAAGTACCGTCGATGAATGGCGTCCGGCCACGGGCGCCATGCGTCCGACCAACGGTGCGTCGTCGTCCCACGCTCCCGCAATCAGCTCCCCATAAACTACAATCACGACACGTGCGTTATCGCGTCCTGTCCCGCGTGTATCGCGTCCGCGCTCCCTGGAAATAGATGATAGCCGTGCAGATTAAACGCTCCAGAATAGATTGGCGCCGCGCGGGACGTTCTCCAGGTACGCATTTTGCGCTACTGCAATCATGCAAATCACACACGAACGACGTTACGCATCGCCTCGGCGTGCCGCTGCAATACGAACTGATCGATCCTCTTGATTTTACTCCAATTCTGTTATATGACTCGAAGAAGATCGATCGAAAGAATATCTCTTCGATCGAACGGAACATTGAATTCGAACGTTCGTTTTGTATCGAAGATCGGCAGAAAACCCTAATAATGATCTCTCCTTAATGTAACGCACGTAAGAATTATGCGCACGTAGATCGTCGTTTTTCATTAGCGCAGTCCAAACAAATCGTTTGTATTTCATGAATATGCCACACGCAATATTCTCTTTAAGACTTTAAGTAATTCATTGTCTTGTCCCGGACAATGTGAGAATCTGTGCCGACTGCAAATTTCGCAACCTTCACGCTTGGGATTCGCTTTGCCACCTGCCACGTGTGGAGGGCGTGTAATTCGCCCGTTGTCTCGAAACGCGATAATCCCGGAAAAATACGAGCGTGCTCGCGAATATTATCGCGACGCGGAGTTAATTATCGCGCGACGCCAAGCGGCAGCAGAGGAAAGCAAAAAAAAAAAAAAAGAAAAAAAACAGAAAAGAAAAGAAAAAAACACGAGATAGAAATGGCGGATGGTCACACGGCGAATACGCTTGCGGAGAAGGTTGTAATGATGTTATGTGGTCATTAAAGACAGCAAACATCGTAGCTTTTATGCGCTGTGGAAAATCACAAGAGATTGTTCGGGGGGGATATTAGCACCAAAGGCAACGAATTCTAATAATCGTCGCTCTCACGATGACGCAAGCTCGATTAGGGCATCTCGTTCGCGCGTTTGTGTGTTCGGATATTTTTAGTCCCGCCAAGACATTGGTCTCGCGCGTCTCATAAAACTAGCAAATTGAAATTTAGAAAATGACGACGACTGTGTGATGAATATATCCGCGCTGCGCGCGAAGATTGTATCCCGACCTCGATGATATATAAATTGCGGTTATTGTCTGCCTGAATGTGGAAAAGCAACCCGTTTGGGTGCTATATCCGTCAAAAGAGAGACGGTCTCTTGTCCATGTCTCAATCAACGACAATCGCTCACTGCAAATAATCTGTAACTTCCACATGTCTAAGGTAAGAGCTCGAAAGAGAGAGATCTATGATTTCTTGCAAACGTCTACCGTTTGAATGATCAATCGGTCTGTTGGGATCGATCATCGCGGACGATCATCTCGAAGAGCCACTTCGAACGCCGCGATCAGATGTATCTCTCGATGTAAGGCAATTTCCCGTGTTCTCGAGAATTTACGGAGATCCTTTTCTTTTCCTTGTCATGTCGCTTACGTATATCGCTCGCGCGTACATCTTTCACGCGCGAGAAATGTGATCGACACTACGTAAAATCCATTCCCTGGGGATAATGTATACCTAATTGTTACCTGCCCGGCCGAAAGACTATCCAAGTTATCTTTTATCTAAAAGATAAAGATCCTTTTTTTGCTTTTAGATATAACAAAATAGTTTTTGCTACTTTTAGAGAATATTATTAGAGAAATTCTGAACTATAAATAAGATAAAGAGAAAAAAGATTTAAAAAATTATCGAAGACTTGTAGAAGTTGAGGAAGATTTTCTTCGAATTATTCAAAAAATGAACGCGTTTATAGATATGTATCAAGCTGCTCTTAAAAACCCTGATGGAAAGTAAATCTCCACGAAATGTCGGCATAAAAATGTGGCACTAACGCGGTTCAAACCCGAAAAACATCTTTGAATGTTAAGTATGTATATGAAAACCATCGTATTGTAATATATAAAAATTTATATTATAAATAAAAAATAGCACTTTAATGTGGCGTAAATAAAATTGCAAAAAACAATTTAATTTGGTCGCAAAAAATATAACCAAGAACGCCAATGTTGGCATATTTAACCTTAATTTTCTCGGAAACCTGACGTAGGTAGGTTCTTGTATTTTTGGCAACGGATTCGTTTTTCAGCGACCAACAATTCATTATACAACACTTTTCTTATCCAGGTTTTAAAAATGCGTTGAACAGTGAGTCGTCGTCATGACTCGAACATCAGAATCTATTATCTCACAAAATAGGCACTACCCATTGATAGAGTTATCTTACTTATCACTTATTTTATCGATCGTAGATAAAAGTAGTCTTAAATTGACGTGATCCTACAGAGGAGTGCATTATATCGTGCGGCTCCAAGGAATTTCTCGGAAATTTCTTCTCTGGCTGCTCCTATTGCCGCGCGCCGTTCTTCTTTGATTTCGAGCTGTTGGCGGAGACCGAAGAAGAACGGCGCGCAGTACTTAGTAGAAGCAGTCAAAAGAGAAATTTTAGAGGTTGCACCACGATATGATGCATTCCTGTGTACACAATATAACATATAACTCAACAAACTCGCCTCTAAATTTATCACATAGCATCACTATCTCCATCCGACCTTACTATGCTTACGATGCTTTCAACACAACATCTTTAATACCATCGTTAATGCAGCGTGGGATGTGACAGACTTAACAATTACTATTTTGGTCATTTCTGTATAGCAGTCAAGTGTTTTGTAATATTCATAATGTAATTTTGAGTCTATTTGTCGTCATACTCTCTAACATGCCGATCATAATACTGTATATTCCTAGTACCCACTGATGAAGATTTGAATTAAAATCGAAACGTTCGGGAACAATTTACTTCGAATCATTTTGTTGCAAAACATCCGGCAAATCAGTTCAGCAACGCCCTCCCCAACACACCTTCACTTTTTGAATTATCGAAAACTTATCTAGAGGTGAAGAAATTGAGCATTAGTGCGTATGGTTTCGCCATTTTTTTTAAAGACATGTTATAGCTCTAGAAGAGTTGTGTTCGACTCCTAAAAAATTATTCGTGATAATATTCTAAATATATATAATAATATTCTAAACTTTTTTTTTTATTCTTTTCAATAAGCAATTATTTACCATGCTTTTTGATTGAAGCTCAAAGATCATTCTTTGCAGCAATCATCGCACGCTTATTGTTATAGCGGGAATTTTCACACGTAATATAACTCTCGGAAGTTTTATTCTCGCTTTAACATTGTGCATTTGAAAGAATTTATTGATGTACTAGCTACCAAGAATTTTTTCTCGCAAATCTTCGGGTAGGGATTAACGAGACTACCACTGGGACTCGTTCGGGAACGCAAATTCATCGAAAGCGAATGATCGAGAGCGAAACGAAATACCTATTCCCCGAGGAAAATAACGATTCCAATCGCTCGTCCATTCACTCGTACACGAGTTCTACACAAGTTGGTAGGTATATTCACCTCTTTCTTTCTAGGTCGTCTGTGTTTGTGCTATTACTCATGCATTGATGTATTTTGACAAAACTCCTATAATGTGTCGCACGGCAACAACAGTTTACCCTGCTACGGACATCGAATCCTCAACAATACGGCTCGCAGCGAGCGGGAAGTTCCGTATTATTGAATGAAATTTGCAAGAGCAGAACACAGCGTGTTCCATAGTCTCTATTTTCAGAAAAGCTGTCACACACACACTGGTTTTTTCTAGTTTCTTTTTTGTAAAATTTGTAATGTAAAGTTTTGAAAATGCTGACGTATCTCTTTTACATCAATCGTCGTGGAAAACGTTTTACAACAGACTTTCTACGTGACTTTTGAATCGGTAAAACTTATCGGAGAAGTTGAAGAAAAAAAAACGTGGAATATAATCGTAGGAGCCGAAAATTATATTTTCATGTACAATATTATAAATTTTTGTGACTGTATGTTTGAATTTAACTGTGTTGCTACTCACAATTTGTATGTTTGCGAGACTCGAGGTTTGAGACACGAGTGTTTTTTATTCTCATCTCTGAGATATTTTGTTGACGCTTCAATTGACAAATTCGAAAGAGCAAAACAGAGTCGACGAAAAGCGTAAAGCTGATAAGCGTACAGAAAAGGTTCGAATCCGCCGATAAGAATAGATGCCCGAAAAATTACGCGCTCCGAAACGATCACCAATTTTTGTATTATATATATTTTTAACTACATTTATTTACTATTAAATCTTTAATATTTTAACCAGTGATTCTATTTATTTAAATAATGGACTAATCATCAAATTTTACGAAAGATTCTTACATAATTTATTAGACGCAAGTTAGAGTTTTGTTTCTAGAAAATCAAGCCGAGGGCTTTCCAATTCTTTCTTTGAGTTATTAATCGTTCGCAAAACCTCTCGTGAATGAGTTATTATTAACAATTAGGAAGTAACTATCTCCTTACAAATTACGTACACTCGTAAATCATTCTCCGCGTGCAATCTCCTTGGTGCGGGATCGTGTTATTCGAAGCATCATCTAGAATAATATTTGAAGCCAAGTAGTCGTTGATGAGAAGTTGATAAATCTTTGCGGCCCGGTGCACGTGCAGTGCGAAGGCGGACGTTACCTGCGGTTCGAATCCTGTAGCGCGATGCAAGATTGCAATGCGCCACCTTTAAATCATAGATCATCCGATGATAGGCGGGTCGCATGGCGTACCACACGATTGCCACACACGCGTATCTGAGCGTGAGACCAAGTTGATACTCGGGCCAGTTGATCGTATGAGATTCAATAAACGCAGGAGAGCACAGCGATGCCGCAATCATCGATGTTACAACTCTATCTCTCGCTCGAGATTAATCTTACAGAACTCCTCTATTTCGAAAAAACAAAAAAAAAAAGACTTCAAATTGAAATCCAAAACGCGAAGAGTGTGTATACAGCCAAGAGAAAATTTACTCGCGGCTGTACAGTCGATCTCTGACATTGGTCTCGGGGATGCGTCTCGGTAGGAAGTTAATAATCTGCAGTTCCACGCACGCCCAGGAGGCGAGGAGGCGTATACATATATCTATATTCGCGCGAAGAGGCTACGTCACCAGAGGCTTCACAAGCGGCGGAGGGACCGGAGCGAGATGCAAACCATTAAATAACAGCTCGCAGGGTGATAGATGGGTCGCATGCCGATCGTTCTTGTTGGCAAGGCCCATTAAAGCGCGTGGGCCCCTCAAGTCTCGAGCTCGCATTTACACCTGAGTCTCGACCACCACCACCACCACCACCACCATTGCCAGTGGTGCCAGCATATGAGGTTCAAGATAGAGACCAAGAAAGCAACGGTGGGGGAGGCGAGGGAACAGAAAACCGAGAGACTCTCGGGGCCCCGGGACTTGGCCCGCAGTTAATTGCCAGCATTTAATGAGCGCTCTTTGACGCGCCGCGCGAACCGCCACGGTAAAAGACGTAATGGCCGCGGCGCTTTTCTGACGACTTCACGTACACTGTGCGCAGCTTGAATCTCGAATCGCGGAACAACGGCTCGTAGAAAGAAAATTCACCCTTCCGCGTTCGACAGTTCACGAGTTAGTTCCCCCAGCACACGTTTCACATATCTTTAAATTAGTAGAACATATTCGCATTGTGCATTTGACAATCCGCAGTTTGCAAAGTGTGGATTGTTATTAGTAGAATGTACAAACTCAGTTTTGCCGAATAAAATGTATTTTAAACTGCTTGAAATTTTTATTTCTGCTATCTGTACTTTTTAAGATCTTCTAAAATTGTTTCAGATCAGAGTTTGAACCTTGCTGTGTAAAGATTCTGTTTGCCAGAAGAGAAGACTCAAAACTTTAGCGAAGATTCACACCACTTTAGCGAAAGGGTTCTGATTTCTGTTATCATAAATAGAGTCTTCGCAAAAAATTATTTATAAACTTATTAATTATTTATAAAAATTATTTATAAAATTATTTATAATTTTTTGCAAAGACTATAATTTTAATATTTTTTCACGTACTATACATATATTTTTTTTGATAATGTATTTATTATAAAAATAATTTTTGAAAATGTATAAATTTTTTCTTTTTCTTCTATTTTCTTATATTTGCAATTCAAAGCAAATTCTGTCAGAAAAAAATCGCCGATGTCATAGTATCTATTTGTAAAGTTAGTGCGAAGTCATTTTTGTAGGGTGTAAGGGTGTTTATACTTAACAAAGTGAAAACTGAAGAAAAAAACTCCAGCTTTTATATTTTCCGCTTTAATGTAGCGTTTATACATATTTATATATAATCAGAAACCCTAGGCACACAGCGTCGCTTAAATTATAGTCGTCACAATACCGTCGGAATGGTGACAAAGCTGCATTATAAATTACACTGTCATTTGTTCGGTGAGTGCGGTCGGATGTATAACAAAAGTGCCGTTAGTTTGATTTAGTAAGCACAATAATGGCAAACGGAAGGGATTGTTGGCAAACTGCGTGTGTCCTTGCTGCAAAGATGAAGAAATTCTTTATTTGCGGAAAACATCCCGATTTCCTTTATTTGCGTTTCCTTTGTAGCGTCATCTTCAAAGAGCTGTTTTGTACAAGCCAAGTCAAATATATTTTAACATTATTAACTTTTGAAACGATATATAAGACAATATGTAACACATATGCTTATAAATCTTTAGTCTTTATAAATTTAATAAAACAAGAAAAGTTGCATCTTTTTGATAATTTACGAACAATAGTTTGTTTTTTATATCACAAAAATAAATAATAGATTATAAGTATCAAATTATAAAAACTATATAAAAATTACATATTTTACGAAGACATTTCTCTTGTAATTAAAGAAAGTTTATTAACTTGTAAAAATCTTTTCTACATGTACGAGCATGTATACTTTAATTTTAAGAACACAGCATGTAACGACAGTCGATGTGATAACGTTTGACAATAAGAACGTACGAACAATATGTATTGCGGTATCAACTAATGACAAAGTCAAAGAAATTATCTTTGGAAGAGAAGTTAGGAAGTCTTTACATCACTCGCTATTACAGAAGAGACTCAACTTCATATATTATCTTTTGTGAAGCAAAGAAAATGTACAATTAAATATGATTTTTAATTCAGTAATTATATACAAATAATATATAATGCAAAATATACATTTGCGTGTGCATTACTTTTTTAAAAATCTTTATTATTTGGTTTTTCATCTTGTGTCGTTTAGGTTGTCGAGTATCTTCGTAGATGGCACAATATCTGTTCTATAGAAGAAACCTGACATGCCAACAACTTGAAGTGATGCAATAAGAAATTTACAAATATAGTCACGCACTGTCGTTTTGATAAAAATATCTAATTAATGTTTTTGGAGATTATATTTTAAAAATAAAAGAAAATCAATTATAGTATCAAATCGCGAAATAACAATTGCTATAAAAAGTATCGTTCTCGGATAGATATCGAGAGGATAGTGTTCATTCTTTTATCAGATTATAAATAAAATCTATACGCGCACACACAAGTACTCTTAATAACAAAAACTTGGGTTTCGAAAATTTTTATTAAAAACTTGATCGATCCACATATACATGATGCAAAATGTCGAATACGTATTCTTATCTTCTATCACAGATTAATCACGCACAAAGTAATACATGTAGATATTAACATCAAAATAAATCAACATAAATAATTATATAGCAGTGTATTTCTGCATATATACGAATAGACTATACCATAAAATTAATTATAACGCTTTTCTTACGTTACGTGATAAAAATATACATCTTAAGTAAAGAATTGTCGGTATAAAAAAAAAAAAAAAAAAACAAACAAACAATGCAGCAATGGATAAAATATTCAGAATAAAGTGCCACACATAATGTATGTTTAACTCGTAATGTAATAATATAGTGCGTCAAAATTGATATTGATCATCTTTTTTTTTGTCTTGCCATACCATTTGAACAAACACTTTAATATCACAAGTCTAAGTAGTAATATAATTATTTAAAGATAAACTAATATTTATCTAATGATTTAAAGCCAAGTACCAAAATAACAAAATTAACACAAGATTAATAGTAATGTAACTTTGTGTGTGTGTGTGTGTGTGTGTAAACATATATATATATCTATATATATATCTATATTAGAACTAATCATACTCGGACATCTGAGTATTCTGGTAAACGTTCTATGTGTGTTTGCAATGTGCGATAATACCCGTACAATACGAATATCCGAGTGATACTCGTTCCTGGAAGATATGAGTACTCGAATAATATGGATCGGGGTAACCGGGTATTATTAATCTCTGCTTGTGTTTCTTCGTCTCTGTTGGCATAAGTGTGGTACACAAAGTATTGCAATCGAAATATTTAATTGCAACAAAAACATCGTTTGGACAATCTTCGGGAAGTATATATAGTATATGTGTATAAACTTGTATCATATTTAACTTCGGAATATATTAACAGTAATATCGCCAGAGTTCTTAAAATTAATCCTTAAGTTAAAAACTATCGTTCAAACAATATAACTCGAGATTAAACTTCCATTATATTTTCTTTGTTTTGTTCTCCTCTGTTTGTTATCTTTTTACAAAATTTCAATGTAAAAGTAGTACATACGTAAACAACTGAACGGCGAAATGTGAAGAAATATTTTTATAAGGAATGGATTTCGACCGCTTATCGTTACACAAGAATTCGGGAACTACCACGGTCTCCACATCGGGTCGCGTTCGTCCACGCGCTCAACATCAATTTCTTCGTCGTCATCAGCGTTAATGTCTTGCGGATCGTTTGTTTTGTTTCTCGTCGTCGTTACCATCTTTGTTGTCGATTCTTGGCGGTCCCTCAGACTCCTTGGTTTGGCACTGCAATTTACTGTTAATTTCTCATTGGCGTTAACGAGCGACACCGAAGATCGACATCGAGGCGTGGAAGAAACGGTTGTCGACGCGGCCGCGTCGTCGACAGTTTTATCGGTGTGAGGCGTGGATCTTATCGGCGATGTGCTTGCTGGAAGTATCGCCGAGTCAATTTCGGTGGACGTGCCGCAAGGTGCCACGACGTTGGCAATGTGGTCCAGATTGGCCAGGGTAGGCGATAACAGGTTGGCTTTTGGCTGAAGAGAACACGTTTTTTGTAGTCATTACGACGATCGTTAACACCTCGCTCGATCATAAATCTTTTGCAAGTCGCGTTATTCCCGTTGCTCGTATAATACGATCGCGATAATATCTTTCTCGCCAAGTTTGGACATAACGTGGCTTCGCGCAAATTCTATTCGTGACTTTATATTCACCTTTTTAGGTGAAAGTGCGATACGATGTGTATTTTTAATTTTTTTTTTTCAGAGTAAATCTGCGCAAAAAACGAAGAACTATTTAACGAGAAAACTTCTCAAATATCAAATCAAAACAAAATAAGAGCAGCGGGATAACGTGAGTATAACGGAAAACGCGTATTGTATCCTAACTACATAATTAATCATAAAACGAATGAATACGTAAATCTTCTAACTTTGTAATTAATTAGCGTTAATTACGCGTGTATTATTATTACTGCCTCTGCGATCTCCGCTTTTTGCTCGTCAATTGCAGATGCGCGTAAGTATAAAAAAATTTATTGCAAGATAAATTGCAGGTTGCAGCTTCTTCCCGTAAGCGTCTATTGTGCGGCGGCATAAAATTCAATGCATACGCGACGTCTCATCAAGACGTGGTTATCTCGCAGCTCATAAGCGACAATAATTAGCTGCGTCGAACCAGATCGTACGGTAAATTACGCGATGTAATATTGCGCCGAAAACCGCATCTTAAAAATCTCATTTTGCGTATTGAAAGCAGCACGGATCGCTTCTCGCGCAAATTTGGGATGTACGAGATGAATTCCCTAAAATTTGATGGTCCTGTCGCGTTCTCTCTCTCTCTCTCTTTTTCTCTCCGCGCTCTTATTATTAGCGCTAATTGCAATATCAACTCGATAATTACCGACGAATTTGCGTGCAGGCTTGTCTTCTGAAGACCAGCTGCGAGGTGTCTCGCCAATCTGTCCGCGGCTTCACCTGGAAGCGACGAGAGAAATCTGCAGGCTTCCGCCGCGCAATGCCCGAAGCCAGATTGCCACCGGCTCTCCGCGGAGATCTCGTCGCCGTTCGTAATCGTCACCGATAATCCGGAAGGTCGCGAGGCCTGCAACTTCTGCAGATGACGCACCGTCAGCTCGAGGATATCCGCCTTCTCCAGCTTGCTGATGTTCTCGCCCTCGGTCTGCAAATCATTCCGTCATTAGTCAGATTTGTCAGCTGTACGTGTAATACATCTCGTGTTTTGTGTTAAAATTAAAATTGTGACAAAACAATTTATTCTATTATTACAATTAATTAAAAACACTACCGAACATAAAAAATAATATTATAGAAAAAACACAAGAGAGACAGTCTCAATTTCTTTCTCTATTTAATTTTTAAACTAGAATGAAATATTCATTGTAAACATCATTATCGATCGTAATGCTCTTTGATGATGTAATTTTGCGCTTCTCCGTCAAGCTAACTCTCTTTCGTATTTTTTTTCCACTTCTCTCGTCGAAGAAGAACGTCGGCTTCTTCGATCTAAGAAGAAGTCGCTATTGAAATGGTATCGTTACCGGCTCTCATAACTGTTGCGGGACAGTTTGCTTTAGATTGTACGATCAAAGAAAGAATGTTGAATCTTAGAAAAAGGGAAATCGCGGCGCCTGAGCGTGGAAGCTTTGCGCTCGACGACCGTGTTCGTGACGTTTTGCGCGCGAAGAAGAATACCATGCAGTTGACGGGCGTATTAAGCCGTACGAAACGTGCCGATCGGACCGGAAAAGTAAAAAAATTGCCGTGTCGTTGGAAAATTAACATTGGCGAAATCAATACCTTTCACGCTGATTCAACGAATTACGATGGTCGCGGTGATGGCCGACGCGTATGCCTTACGCGTGGTAACAATTTCGTCGTCGGCACGATTGTATCGCGCCGACTGTATATCGATAAATTACTAAAGGTAGCGAAGCGTGTATTGTGGGTAATATCGCTTTATAAGATGTGCGGGAAACGTGTAATCTTTTTTTTTTTTTTACACACAGAGTTCGAGTCGACGCTGTATTCGAGGCGTAATTCCGTTCAGGAAAAAAACAAGGCTTGAACTTTCTCGCTGTAATGGGCAAAAATAACAGTTTTTTTTTTTCACCCGTCAATTCTCGTCGATCATTTTATTATTTAATGCACAACCGAGAATATGATTTTTTTGGATTAAAAATTTTTATTAAAAATTTTGAATTCAAAATTCAAAACAACTGAGTCTAATTTTCAGTCTCGTTTGTCCCGTTGAAAAAAGATTGCGTTTGCAATCGCGTTATTTGCTAGTCGTATAAATAACGCATTTAAATAAAAGTGCGTCGTCGCAAACAACAAACGGAGCGTGACGTTGGGACGACGGTTTATGGAAAGGTTAAAATGCAATGTTTATTTAAATATATTGCCCACGCGTTTAGCGAAGTGTGCTGCGCTCTTTGCATGACCACGCACTAGATATCGCGCGTTCACTCCTCGTGTTCTCACGCTCCGGGAATATTTAAAAGCAAAATCGCCTGCACGCGCAGTTGCGACCGGAGAATGCGTTTCCTGCTAGGCGCGATCCGTAAAATTGCCGCTGAGGGGTGACGCGCGAGCGGAGCAACTCGGCGTCATAAATAGAGCCGATCGGGTCGAGCAAGAAACTTCGCGCGGGTTTCCCTCGCTCGACGCGCGCCCGGAAAAAAAAAAAACATAGCACGTGCTCGTTGAACGTATCGACTCTGAGATTGTTCTGAGAGAGAGAGAGAGAAAGATAAAGACAGAAAAGTCCCAGTTTCTTTTCGTCGTTAAACAATTTGTCTCGACCACGCGAAAAAAGCCACGCAAGATCGCGCGAAGTGAGAGTTAATTGTCACTCGTAAGAAGTCGCAAGCGTAATGCGTGAAGTGTCGTTTTATTGCGTTTATACAAGAGCCTTATGTAATTTACAACTTCGATTCGTTTTGTTTTTTTTATGTAAAATGTGGTGAAGAGATTAATTTGGAATTGAGAGATTGGCTGTGGCTACTCATAATTCAAGAAAGTTGTTTTACAGCAACGATCTGTTATATTGTTAGATATATCAATATATTAACAGTTTTACCTCCAAGGCATCCACCATGAGATCCTTGAGTTCGTCGAGGCAACGGTTTATCCTCGCTCTTCTCTTCCTCTCTAGCAGGGGCTTCGTTATCTGCCATTGAACACACGTTATATTTTATTAATCAATATTCCGTGACAGCTGCCTGAGATGTCGGCGGCATCACACACTGGCCGAGCCCTTCTTCTTCGAGGAGGATTTTCGCATCATCTTTTGCATCATTTGACCGCGCGTTTTTCGATCGTCAATCACCATTGTGAATTGCTAATTTACGACGTAATCGAAACGCGAAGGCGGCGATAAGCGGGTCATTCATACCCATATTTGTTCGTAAATAATTCACGAAGGAAATCTTCGATTTATAGTTGACGGCGCGAAATAAAGTTCAGTCGTTTTGACGCGACGCTTTCGAGCGATAACCGGACCGGCTGATTTAACTCCAATAATTTCGTCGCGTCTTTTCTTTTTTATTCGCATCAATAATGATTTCTTGGTCGGATGGGTCGTGAGGAAGAATACAAATTTATGCCCGTACACCAGGTGCCACGTTGTCATCAACGAAAGAAAATGAAACAGTCGATACACGAGAAACAAAAGCGCAATTGATTTAAAAGACTTCGCCACTTGAAGCTATCGAGTCGTCGAATCACGAGACTCGCAAAAGGTAAAGTATTAACGGGCTTCTTTTTTTCTGTATTGTAACATATTGCGAGGCAACGTTAATAAATAAAAATTATCTTCAAAAAGTAATAATTAACACTATCATACAATATAAAAGTCATTACATGTAGAACCATATATTAATTATTCAATAATATATCGGCGTCATTTTAATGTGATATCTCGCGCGACACAAAGATAATTAACAGTCATCGAACTGATAAATTATCGATGAGAAAAGAGATTTTGTGTGTACGTGCCGGCACGTAATTAACTCACGTGCGAATTTCAACTCGCAACACGTAGGAGCGATATGCAAAAGCATGCGGATTTGTTGCACAATATCAGATTTGAATATTCAATACAATCAGTTTGAATGTTCAATTGAATATTAAATGTTCCACAAACATGTCACAAACTGTGTAATTATATACATTTTCAAGTACGCATGTGTGGTAAAAAAAAAAGTATGTTACGCTTGCGCAATTAGTTCTTTGAACAAATATAGATTCGATTCAGCGATTGATTTATTACCTTTTTGTATTGGTACGTTCTTGAAACCGGATGGGGGTAATCGTACGACATCATTGCAGGCGAAGAGGTCGTAAATCCAAGGGAAAAAAAAACCAAAAACTGCAAAAGACGAAACTTAAATGAACACCTAACGGAATGGAGTAAAATCATAAAAATGTAAAATTTTATTTGTGTGACAAGCGTAAAAGTGCCAAACAAATGAGCACGACGTCAGATATTTTTTTCTCAGTTATTATAGTGTTAAAAAAAAATTAAATAAGGTGTATAACCGAATAGTTGTGTGCGCAAATAAATTAAATTGACGGAGTCAAATAACTCGAACAAATAACCGGTAAGTAAGCAGTCACAATCGTCAGTAGAGCTAGTCAAACCGGATACCTCTCGGTAAAATGTACGAAGAAAATTAAATGCGGTTTTGCCAGCAACCGACAAACTTATATTCGATAAATAAAACATGTAAGCGCCTTTGGCAGCGGGTATCGAACGATCGACAGGCGCAATTTATAAAGACGTAGATCAAATAGTTTCCGGATAGCTCTTCGACGAGAACCGACACTAGATTTTAATTTACATATCGGTACAATGTGTGTGTGGACGTGCGATGTAACTGTACGTAACATATTTATTCACACTCTCTACAAGATTGATATTTGACATTCAATACGAAAATTAAAATTGTATAAGACATTTGCAATTTTATGAAAACTTCAGTGTGTCAACAAGTTACTTTCTTCACTATAAAATAGAAAGAAAATAGAAAGAAAAAATAAAAAAATTAACATTTCGAAATAAAATAAAAAATATTTGTATATATAAAATAAATAATAGATACATTAAAAAAAAATAGAATCTCTTAAATAAAAGATGTACCTTTTCGTCAAAAGTTGTTGCTCCACCGGCAGTCAAGAATAATCTTCAAAATATTGTCATGTGAAATTTGAAGGAAAATCACATCAAAGCAAAACACTAAGGCAAGAAAATCTATCAAATAATAAAATAATAAAATTGCGCTAAAATATTGCAGTGATATCTCTCGACGTGTTGAATCTCATTGATAAAAAGTTCGATCGTTAATTAAAATCCAATTTGCCTTACGGCGTCGCGCTGCGACATTTTACGCATCTCGCGTATCGAGATGCAAGCGAATAAAAACAAACAAAAAAAAAAAAAAAGGCAAATTGAGTAACGCGACGACACATTGAGCGGATTGACAGGTCGAGATGGCCTGGCATTAGATACACGGCCGGGTGCACTTGGTGGAGTCTCTACACCAACTGGCTCGGTGCTCTCCGCTGCCATTCCGACACAGGCTACCCTCACCCAGGCGCTTCGAACCCTCCGGAGAAGCTACTTTGGATAGGAAGGTCGCTCCAAATGCTTCGTTGTGTTTAACACTCACACGAGCGCGCGGCAGCGCGTGGTCGACGGGGCTGACAATAACAAAAAAAACAAGTGAGAAAGCGCCATTTGCACGTGAGAATAGTTAAAATCAATATTGCCAAATCGATTTCACTGAACATTTTGTCACGAGAATTGCTAAAAATCCTTCAATTGCGCAGTTTTCTACCAACAGGTTTTTATTTTCCAATTTGTGTAAATAAAAAGATTCGTGCTCGAAAACATACGTTGCTAAGTTAATTAATATATTTTCTATTATTGCTAAGTCAGAAAAAAAAATATTATTATAGTAATTAATAGTAACAATAAATTTATATTACATCGCTCTTGTTTAAAACGTGTCACGTTTATTAACAAATTGATTTTATTTTATTTGTCGATTGTACCCCGAATGATGCTCCACTTAACAGGTACTGTTTAAGTTACGCAGCATACGATAATTAATTCCCTGCGTAGCGAATAGGATTGGATTACCAATTTTACACGCGCGCCCGCAAAGCGCTCTCGCGCGTCGAATTTGTTTGCAAAATATAGCAACCATGCCGAGTTTGCAGTGCGTCTCGCGGTAACACGAGCCATCGCGTTCAGTGAAAGCAAGCAACGTTCAATCGGAACGCTATTAGCGCATATCCGCCGATAATGAAGCGGAATTACTGCCGTGGCACGTTTGACGCTTCTGTGTAACGCGATCGTATCGCATTCGTTAAAATGTTTCTAGCCTTCCGTTTAGACACTCAGATAGTTTATGAATATAAATAGTTTAGTTTAGAACAGAACTCAAAATTCTTTTACGCTTTGAGAATATACAAATTATGGAAATTATCTTAATTATCTTAATAAGATTAATAAAATTACGACAAGTGTATAAGTATCTTTGCATAATTGAACTTTTTATATAATCGTGTATAAAACTATCACAAACAAATATATTTCTCATACATGACCGACAGAAAGAAGCAATTCCGCACAATTAATTAACATCAAACTATATAATTACTAATTACCATAATTGTATCGTAAGAACGATTATGGATTCTAAATGAATTAATAAAGAATCGATTTATGTTGTAAAAAAAAGCTTTCAAGCACGCAAGATAAATTATTTAAAAGCAACGCTTCCTGTGTCGCACTTCATCGCACTTGTGACGCTTCGTAATCAGCAATTAAGAACGATATCGATGAGCGTTGATCGTCTCGAGCGTGACGTTCAGCTCACGCCTGAAAAGATGTCATTGTGGCGTCTCTCCTCGAGAGACACGTCACGTCGTCGGAATTTTTAGCGGCTCTCGCTCTTGCGCGATAAGTCAAAATTCATTAAAATTATCTCCGTACGAGCTAGAGCTGCCAGATGCTCAGGAACACTGCAGACGCGCCGACTGCATTTGCACTTAGCCTTCCTGCCACGGATCCGCCTTTATCGTTCACGTCAGCGGAGAAATTTCGTAGATATCGTTGGTATGTTCTTCAGGCCTGATGATTAGTTTCACTTTGTGGCTTCTCCTCGAACAGAGTTTTCTGGTTACTAAATTGACTTGACACGTCGAGATGTAGCTGTGAAAATTCCTTCCTTCACCATGTGCTCCGAAATTAAGAGATAAAAAATATCAGAGATTCGGTGCTTCGATATTCGCTTCTTTTTTGTTTCTTTTACTTTAATTAAATTAAATCATTGACCGGAGGTTTATCTGATTGATACAAGTGAGCTGACATCTATTAACGTAAGATTATAACTTTTTATTGTGAATAATTTATCTCAACATTTTTTAAAAACAACTGACCCGACTTCTCGGGGTTGTGCAACCTGCAACTTTCTATTTCTTTTTCACTTAACAACACACACTGAAGAAGATCCAAACAAGGATCGAAACGTCTGAAATATATTATTTATTAATAAACACATAAACATACACCAAGACCTTGTATATTACTCGTAAGGCCTTTTTCAATTGAATCAATTTTCAACGAGTACTAATCTATGTAAATTAAATCTTAAATAATTTGCTTTGAAAAAGTTTTACGAACTTATGACAGTTCACACATGTACTTTAATTAAATCTTGCGCAAAAAATATCGCGTTGCTTTTTATGATAATTGTGCACGATAAATTATTGCTGAATCTGAATGGAAAAACTGTGATCAACAATACTTTTTATTTGATTGTATTACTCCATCCTGTCTCACCGTTGCTTTATCGTTCACGTATGTATTAAGTATACATAATCGCTGATCTATCACCTTCTACGACACGATTCGATACAGTGCGTGTGTATGTACGAAGTATATCCGGTGCTGTCATTCATGTGTAGACGCGTACGTCTCATCGGCGTGCATTCATTGACGCCACTGACGTATTACAATCCGACACGAATCGTAAACATTCGCACGCTTCGCGTAGCGCGGCTCGCGCGATACGGCACAAACGATAACGCGCTCTGATAACGACGCGACGATATTGCACGAGCGGGTTTCAACACCAAGTGACATCAACTAATTATTGTTTTCCTTCCTGGTATTTCAACCGCGCGAGTTCATACGTGCGTTCGTTCTCTCTTTCTCTCTCTCTCTCTCTCTCGCCCGACAAACCGACAGACACACGAGAACTGTGAGACTCGTGCGGCGAACACGAGGCCCCGCGTGATGATCGATGAGATGGAATAAATAAATAAAAAAAAAAAATATTCCTGGCCGAAGGCTTCCTCGAAGAATATGCGACGAGAAGAACGTATCGAGTGTGAATTAATCTCTACCGGGATTTTCTCTCTCCTGTGCGTAATAGTTTTTGTAATTGTATCCAATTTGCACAAAATTATCAAAATTATCAAAGTCAGATATTGTTGTTTGTTTGTCAAAAGCAATGCTTGATTTCAAAAGTAAGAAGTAAAATTCGAAGAATCTTCTTGCGTGGAAATTTCGCGGCAATTTTTGGCGGAAACGTTAAACTTTCTCTTGAAACGCGGTTGTTCTCTTCGAAGTACAAGAAGGATCAACGAAGTCAAGTGCGCCTTTGCTGCACGCAATAATTACTGCCTTCAAATCAAGGGAGATACAAAACTTCTTTTCCAAGATACTCCGGTATTTCCGAAATTACGAGCGATTTACTCGCTGCGAAATCAGCTTCCCCGATGCTTCCGCGCCGCGTTTCTCAGCCTCATTTCCCACGCACGTGGTGCAAAATCGCATCGTGGCGCGCCCTCCCGCTCGGCCGCGTTTACGATCGCCGCGATCTCCTCTTTGCGTGCACGTAAAAAGAGGTAGCCTGGGCTTTGCCCCCTTTTTTTTACGTTTATTGCGGTTGATTGGCGAGGCCAAGACCCCGCGTGATGCTTCGCGCGGCACGAATCGGCACCTTCTCTCGCACGGGCCCCCGTCAGAAAAATTGGGGCCCTGCGATAAAGCACCGGAGCCGGAGGAGGACAGGGCGGGTGGAGAAAGTGCACAACAAAGTCGAGAATAATACTCGAAAACGCACGGGCGATCGCAACTCGTAATCCCTTTCGGCCGACCAAAAGTCGTCGAGAAAGCCGGTCAAAAGGTAACAACAGCGCCGTGCGTTACTTTACAAGAGAACAAGATATTCGGGTTGGATAAGAGGTGTTGAGAGACGACGAACAACAAGCGAAAGTTGTGGCAAGAAGGAAGGAACGCGCCAAATACACTCGCTCGTGAACGCGCAATTTTCGCTTGTGAGAGAGAGATGGGTCTCTTTTGTCTTCGCTCGTCATTAGTGACCCGAAGGATTTTACTACTATTAACTTTGGTTCCGCTTTCTAAGCAGATGCAGCTTATTTTCCAACTCGAAAGTTTATTCTGGATAATTGTCAATATGTGTGCGCCATTCCTGTATGAGTTTCCTCGCGCGTCAAGAGTTTTTCGCTCGATACAATGTACTTTCGCTGCTACGAAATCATTGTTATTTTGTTTAATTACACATCTTACAGGTTTCTTACTATTTTTTATTTCTCTGAAAATACACTTACTTATATTGCACCTCTCTAACGTAGGAACTGCACGCGTCTGGACAATAAGAGAAAGTATATTTGTACCGGAACAGATCCGTGTGCAAATCCTCAAAAAAGTTGGCGATATTTTTCACTCTGGTAGGAAACAAGGATCGATATCATAGGATCACATCACGTAGACATATCGCAGCACGTTAAAAAGCCGCGAAGCGCCCGACCCCGAGAAGGGGCGAGCGGTATTATAACGAAAAAGAAGACGAAAAAGGAAAAAAGCGCGAAGTCACCGCGAGCAAGCGGAGGCCCGTCGCGGTAGCAGCGTAGACCCCGAGAAAAAGAGACGGAAACACGAGAAGGAGATCGGCGGCGGAACGGCAACAGCAGCAGCAGCAGCAACGAGAAGAGAGGAGGAGGAGAGCGAGAAGGAGATGGAGGTGAAGGTGGAGGAGGTAGCGCCGAGGATGAAAAAACGCGGTTTGTGTTCACGGCTCGGGCGGCTCGGACGTGTGCGAGTCGCGTGTGAGGCTCGCGCCTGTCGTTGTCTCTGTCGCGAGCACGGGCCCGGGCCCGAGCGCGCTCGGGGCCCGGACTGTTTGCGGTCTTTGTCGGGCCCCGTGCCGGCTGAAGGGCCCGTGTGGGACGCGATGCCTCGCCTCGTTCTCACGGTAGCCTCCGACGAAGGGGCCCCCTTTTGCTCGCTTCCTCCTGCTCCTCCTTCTCCGCCCCCCTTTTGTCGTCCTCCCGCCGCGCGTCACCGGCAGCGCGTAGCAGCCACCTCTCTTCTGCCGCCAACGTTCTCTTGCGCTTCGCGCGCGATCGTTCCCGCTTGCTCGTCGTCGAGCTCTTTGCCACCTTCTCCCGCCTGTTTTCCGGGCCGTGCGCGCCGCCTTGACTCGCGTGCACGCGTGTATGCGCCAAGCACGCGTCTAAT